GCAAAATGATTATGAAAAAGCTCAAAGGTTTTCAGTTTGAATCACACTGACTCTGAATCTTTCCATGAATTTACAGAATCATTTCTTCTTTTTTGTGGGAGAAACTATTTCCGGTCCAAACATGTACTACGTTTAGTCAACCTAAATGCTTCTGGTCTTATTTTCAGTGAAGTTTGAAGAAATTTAGCCTGAAAATCTGTTAGTTTTGGTTGAATCATGACGGGTAATACAATAATAATACAATAATAATACAATAATACAGTGAGCAAAATGTAAGTTATTCAAGCAAATTCTGGATGGTGTATCACAAAAAAGTCAGGAAAATAAATTCTATTAATCATTAATATTATTAATGACTTGTGGCTATGTGGTGCAGTGGTTAACACAGCCACCTTATACATAGAAGATCCTAAGTAAGGAGACAAACCCAGTGTCATGAGGTCAAGTGAGGCTAATGTCTCAAGGTTAGCATCAGGAAGGGCGTCTGGTCTAGAATCTGCACCCAATCAAAGATGTGGATACATCCACTGTGACGACCTCTTAAAGAAGCAGTTGAAAGTACCAATGGTAAATATAAAATGGTAAAGGGCCTGTATTTGTATAGCACTTTACTTAGTCCCTAAGGACCCCAAAGCGCTTTACACTACATTCAGTCATCCACACATTCACACACATTGGTGATGGCAGCTACATTGTAGCCACAGCTGTTATTAATAAATATTTTAGTTCTCTGAAAATCATCCAAAAGGCCCCAAATCAAAAACATGGTGAAGTCCAGCACCTGAATTAGCAAAGGTGAAGCATGGACAATACCAGCTGGCTCCAACTGTCATATGACACTGTTTGGCAGGCAGAAGGTGAAACCCAACACAGGACTCTCAAGACGAGAGTTTAACTCTGACTAGACAGAAACTGACTGAGTGACTGATAAGCTGGAAGCAGCTGCAGTTATACAGCTCACACAGGGCACACAGCAAGCAGGACGACACAACCAAACAGAAACAGAAGCAAACTGAGGGTTTAAATAAAGATTAGGCCAGAGTGGAGAAACTTGGGGAACACAGCTGAATAGAATCAAAATTGATGTCGTATTATATAATTTCTCTTATTGTTGAAACAACAGAAGCATTTACAAAGGAAAACGTCCTGCTGCCCGTACAGCACCAGAAAGGATAGTTAGGGTGAAAATCAGTGTAATCCATGAAAATCGTGTTTGCTTTGTGAAAAGCAAAAGCACCTAATTATTGTAGACTTTCTGGAAATTACTCTACAATCTGTTGTGGACAAAGCAAATGAAAACGGAGTAGGAAAACAGAACACAAAAAATGTAAAAAACAAAATTTGATGTTAATGTTAAAAGAGTCTGCTACATTTAATTTCCCCACTCGTGCAAAACATATTATGTTTTCCACTGCAAGAGAAAAAGGATCATGTGTGTAGGACACATTCCAATAACCACCCAGACATTTACCAGACAGCCCATCCTAGAGCGCATCATCCTCCCAGTTTAGTGTCTTGTATCACAGTTTCACAGAAAGTGATTTGCATCCACACCAAAGTCACTCATGGTAGCTCATTAGCACTCTTGCAGGCAATATATCTTCATTTTGACTCTCACCTGAAGAAAGAAGTTGCACTAGTGTGAAGTGACTTGATACCAGTTAAACCACTGTGCTGAAGTAGGGAGTACTTTGCTTGACTCACGCTTAAACAAATGATCCAGTTTCCAAACATTTTCCATTGATCATTTTATTGCATGAGCTCTAGGAAAGGCAAGTGACATGCACCCATTCTCCATGTCACCAGACCGGTAACCAGGTGAATATATTTCCTACTCATTCCTCAGAAACACCTCAAACGTGGCATGCGTGCCAACTGTAATCACTGGAATAGACATGCAACACCATACACACTCTACCTTATCATCATAAAGTCTATGTGGCTACTACACTAAGCATGAAGCCTTTTCTACACTGGTATTACATATACAGAATCTTTTAAACACAGTAAGAAGGATCTTTTACATGGTAGAGTGAATCGTGCCCAACACAGTTAAGACAAAGATGAAGCCTCAACATGAAGGCATTTGTCCCTCAGCTCAGTTTTAGCGTTAAATCTGTTTGTTTTTTAGATTTCTTCCTTTGTTTTTGTATCCAGACATCACAAGCAGGGAGTAGCTCTAATAGAGGAACTGATTATATGCTTTTGTTACGACCCGGCTCAAAAGCCGCAACATAAAAAAGGGACGAACACCAGAGTGTCGGTGAGCAGAGGTTTTATCTTAA